AAATTACAAAAGGTGAGTGGTCACTTTTCAGCAGATGACTTGAGAGCGCTTGAGAAAAGAAACAATGAAAAGATTTTAGGTCACTTTAGAGCCCAGGGCATGGGAGACAGACAAGCTTTAAAAGTGATCTTGGGGTTCTCATTTCTGAAGGTAGGTGAGCATGCAGTAAGAGAAGCAGCCAGCCTCCAACAAAACCACAACTCATTTTGCCAAATGCATTGAAAAGTGCAAGGAGACCCTGAGTTTTTCTAGCATTGAAACAGACTGATATTTAATTTTATTTTAATTAGAATTTAAAATATTTTGATTATATGATTGCAGATAATTGAGAGCAAAGGGAAGTAGGTGCTCATACACAACATATCCTGTATGAAGAATACTTCTTTAAAGTTTACTACTTTCTTTAAAGAAAAAACCTTCAACTGGACCCTAACTACATTCATACTCATGCTCTAATACAGATATCTTAGTCACATCCCAGGCCACCTTTATAGCAGTGAAGAGAGGGAGAAAGTATTTACCTTGCTACTGGAAACAGCAGCCTGAACTGGTGCTCTTGGCTACCCAGAGCTGCAGAACTGCTTTGAGCCACAATCTCTTTAGTGTAAATTCCTGGATTTTGAACAAAGCTTCTCTGCAAGTGCAGATGCAAAATACTACCTCTGGTGTATATGTAGAAAGATGTGTGTAAATGTTTATGCATCTGTTCCAATGTGCAAGGCAGGATCACATAGCCTATTCTGAGGGAAAGCATCAGGAAACGTGAAGCCTGCAGGAGCCAAAAGGGATCTTCCTTGGTATTTCATATTCAATCTGATGGTTTTCACTGCCTTTGATAATTTGCAGAAATTGAGTGTCTAAGTCTGAATCTCACAGCCAAGTTTTACATCATGCCTTATTCCTGGTTAATGCAAGCAGTACGTCGCTTTGGCTCCGTCATCTAATATCACTGTGCATTCTTTATGTCCCAAATTCTTCAAGAAGTTATTGTATTCAAAGCCATACCATGAAGATTTTCCCTTTCCAAATTTGAACACCATCTTTGTTCTGGCAATTCAGGGAATCTGTTTTATCCATCACATTAGATGCAGTCATTGTAATAGTTCCCACCCCGTATGCCACAGCCATTGCTACGGTGCAGTGGAAATCAATAGCACTTTTTCTATGCATCAGGGATTTCCCATCGATATTTATGTATAACAATTAAATGAGCACGGGTTCCACTCATCTAAATAAGCCCGAGGGCTTTATCCCTGTTGGTAC